GCAAACGACTCCCGGTCCCTACCACCGTCCGCATCACATCCCCCACTGTTGTTCCTAGCGCCACTGTCCTCACCACCACTTTTCCCGCTGGTTCCACCACCGTCCCGACTGTCTCCACCAGTGCCCCCACCACTGTCGCACTGTCCCCACTGTCCCCACCACTGTTCCCACCACGGTTCCACTCTCCCCACTGTCTCCACGGCCCCAACCACTGCCCGACTATCCCCACTGTCCCCACTGTCCCACTGACTCCTCCGCTGTCCCACTGAGCTGTCCCACTGTTCCCACCACTGTCTCCACTGTCCCCACCACTGTCCCCACTGTACCTTTGTCCCATTGTCCCACCGCCGTCCTCGCCACCGCCTTCACCACTGTCCCCACCACCATTGTACCCTCCACTGTCCCACTGTTTCCACCTCATTCCCGTTGTCCCCACACCACTGTCCCCACCACCACCGTCACCACCACTGTCCACTGTCACCCCCTGTTCCACCATTGTCCCCACCACTGTCCCCACCACTACCGTCCCCACCACTGTCCCACTGTCCCACTGTCCCCACCACTGTCCCGCTATCCCCTCAGCACTATCCCCACCAACACCGTCCCCACCACTGTCCGCACCCCCACTCGGTTTTCCCGGGGGGGGGGGGGGGTTCGAACCGGTAGTGACCCCCCCCCGGTTTTCGAGGGGGGGGGGGGGTTCGAACCAGTAGTGACCCCCCCCCTTTTCATGATGAGCTGTGGGGGGGAGGGGAGGGGTTCGAACCGGTAATGACCCCCCCGGTTTTCCGCCAGCAGCGGTAGAACACGCTCTTTCCATCATCATCAGCATCATCATCATCATCATCATCATCATCATCAGCATCATCAGCAGCAGCAGTTTCATCACCATCATCATCATCATCATCAGCAGCAGCAGCAGCAGCAGCAGCATCATCATCAGCATCATCAGCAGCATCATCAGCATCATCATCAGCATCATCAGCATCATCAACATCATCATCATCATCAACAGCAGCATCATCATCACCAGCAGAAGCAGCATCATCATCAGCAGCATCATAATCATCAGCATCATCAGCATCAGTATCAGCATAATCATCATAATCATCATCATCATCATCAGCAGCATCATCATCATCACCATCTTAAGCAGCATCATCAGCATCATCATCATCAGCAGCAGCAGCATCAGCATCAGCATCAGCATCAGCATCCTTCCTTTCCACTTCCTCCTCCTCCTCCTCCCCTCCTCCTCCTCCTCCTCCTCCTCCTCCTCCTCCTCCTCCTCCTCCTCCTCCTCCTCCTCCCTCCCCCCCCTCCTCCTCCATCTCCTCTCTCCCTCTTCCTCCTCCTCCTCCTCCTCCTCCTCCTCCACCTCCACCTCCTCCTCCTCCTTCCCCCCCTCCTCCTCCATCTCCTCTTCTTCCTCCTCCTCTCCTCCTTCTCCCCCTCCTCCTCCTCCTCCTCCTTTCTCCTCCTCCTCCTTGCTCCCTCCTCCTCCTCCCTCCTCCTCCTCCTCCTCTCCTCCTCCTCTCCCCCCCCTCCTCCTATTCCTCCTCCTCCTCCTCCTCCTCCTCCTCCTCCTCCTCCTCTTCCTCCTCCTCCTCCTCCTCGACCAAGCCTGCCGCTGGGACGAGTCTTGCAGCACGCACTCCACGCCACTCCCGCCTTCGCACGCGCACCGAGCGCAGAGGCGGGCGGCGCCGCCGACGGACCACCTTCGCCACCGCACGAGCATTCGGCCTCCTCCCGCACAGGCGGGTCGGACGGGCCGCGAGCCACGCTCGCCACCGCGGCGCGCAGTGCCGCGAAGTGCAGGCGAGCGTGGGCGGTGGAGCCGCGAGCGCAGCACTGGCGGTGTGGCAGCGTGGGCGGTCGTGGCGCTCGACGGCACGCGGAGTGTCGTGGCGGGCCTGGACGTGCCCAGGGCGACGGAGGCAACGGCGCGCCTCCGCGGCGCTGGTCGCTACGACCTGGCGGGCCGCTCGGCGGCGGCACTCCAAGGAGTGCAGCGGGGTCGCCCACGACAGAAATCTGGGCGGCTGCGGCCAAGGACCAGGAGCTGTTGGAGGCTTGGGGCGTGGACATTGGCACCAACACCACCCCAGGCGGTTTGCCTCCACCGGGGGAAGATCTACTCCTGGACTGTCGTGCTGGTGGTAATCCTTGGGCCGCCCAGGAGGCTCGAGCATTTTACCACCATCACCGAGATCGGGACCATCGCGCCTCCGTGGAGGCGCACCGCTGGTGTTGGCGCTGGTGCCAACCTCTGGGCCCCTGGAGCTGGGTATCCGTGGAGGGCCCGTACGTCCGCCAGGCCGGGCTGCCTCTCGGCGGCTCCGAGGCGTCCGCGCGACGAGACGACGGCGCTGGCCATTGCGGTGGTTCACACACGGTTCAACGGCAGGCGCCTCAGCTCTCTGAGGCGTTGGGCTCACTCGAGTCGGTGCCATGCGCGGGCCTCCTTGTGGCTCTGTTTGGCGCTGTGCTGCTCTCGCCGTGGCACGCGCCCACCTGCGCACGTGCGCAGCGCAAGCGCAAGCATGCGCGCAGCACGCGCGCAGCAGCGGCACCGCACCCCTTAGGTGACGCCGAGTCCCACCAGCCATCTGGGCATCTGTGGTCTAGGGAGTCAAGTCTTCCAACTTGTTTTCCCGCCTCTCCCCCATACCCACTCTCCCTGGGTCTCCGCGGGTCGTTGGAGTGTCCACAAATGGCCCGAAACGGCCCCAAGAGGACACCAGGCAGCCCAAGATGGCTTCCAAGATCGCACACGGTCGTCCAAGATGGTTCAATCGAGCTTCCAACGTGCCTCCAAGAGGCGCCATGACCGTCCAAAGACAGTTCCACGAGGCAATGGAGCCTCCCAAGGACCCCCAAAGAGGCCCACATCGTTCCTAGACCTGAGGTGAACCAATGTTGTGATGTCTTCTCGCCTTATGGCTTCCGATGGGCTCCTGAGGCCCCAAGTTGGCTCCAAGACGGTCCAAGCGAGACTCGAGAGGGGCCCTAGAGTGGCCCAAGACGGCCCCAAGAGCGCCTCAAGAGGCGATGTCGAGGACCTCGACGGGGGGGGGATGGCATTAAGAAGTGTTCCGTTTTTCATCGATGGCCTCCGGGATGATCCCAAGAGGGCCCCAAGAGAGCCTCAAGAAGGACCCACAGAGAGCCCGCAGGCATCCAACATTGCCCCAGAAGAGCACCAGGATGGCCCCGGAATGCCTGCAGGAGGCTCCCATGCCTGCATGCTGCTACACATCCTTGATCTGGGCAACTCGCCTGGTGATTGTGTTTGGAAGGGCTGGTGGGGATACGCGAGTCGTGAATAATCCAGCGACCCTGTCGGCGTGTGTGAGGCGATTGGGCCGTTTAATTCGGATCGTGTTTAATTCGAATCGTCGCTGCTGACGAAACGCCATCGCTCTCGTCCTCACGTGCGCCAGCCAAAGAACATGTAGATATGATCCAGCACGCCTCTAAGACGCCTACGGACCGCTCCCAGGCGGCTCATGGCGGACACGAAGCTTTCTAAGGAGTCCCCTGGAGACGAAAACCTCTCAAAACCCAGTCTTTCCAATGTTTTGAGCTTTCTCATCTTTCCACTTCCGATGGGCTCCGGAGGCCTCCAGGTCGGCGGCACTGGCTTCAAGGCTTTCGCAATAATTTCTATGCGGCTGACGCTGGATCCGCGAGCAAAAACGTTCGAGTTGGGCAAATACTGCTCTTGCGTGCAAACTGTGCTCTCTGGCAGCTGCTCCGTTGAGTGGAGGGCGCCACAAAACCGAAAGAGATACATGGTCAGAACGACCTACAGCGAAACCCCACAAGTACATCGGCGGCGCTGGTCGTATCTTATCTTCCTGTCCCCCCTCCCCCTTCCCCATCCTCACTCTCCTCCCCATCCTCCAACCTCTCGCCGCCTCGTCCTCCTCCTCCTCATCCTCTGCCGTCTACGTTCCCATATCCCTCCTCCGCGTTCTCCACTCCATCCTCCTCCCATATGTTCCTCCTCCCGCCCCCACCCCTAGCCCCATTCCCCCTGCCCGCCCTCCCTTCTCGCCCCCCCCCTCTTGCCCCAAACGGAGAATCCCACCCCCTCCCGATCGTCATCTTCCTCCTCTTCAAACCCGCCCCCACCCCACACCCCCCTTCGCCCAAATTTCCCCTAGGTCGGACATGTCCTCCTGCAGGCGGATTTTGGAGCAATACCCAAAACTCGACAACAAATCATGGAAAAATCGCCCCCTGGCGACTTTGTGGACTGGTTTGAAATATTCCTCCAATAGAGGGACATGCCCGACCTCATCCGAGCCTCGCCCTCACGCGCCGGGGGGGCGCGCCATCTCGAGGATCCGCGCAGCCTCCAGCTCCTGGATGGGAAGCAGGAGGGAGGACGTCGGCGAACGCCAGTGTTAGGAAACAACTACTGTGAGGTCTTCGTCAAAAGAATTAAGGAGCATCAAGCCCGAATGGGGGGCTGTGACGCCGGAGTGGGCCTCGGATGAAGCGGAATTGAGCCGGATTAAGCGGGATCAAGCGGGATCAAGCCGGATTAAGCCGGATTAAGCCGGATTTCGGACCAGGGCAAAGTCCGAATTTCACCTCCCAGGAGTTGCATCCGAGCCAGTCGAGGCAAATGTGGCGCAGACCTCGACAGGTCGACGCGCTGCCATCGGGAGCGCCAGATAAGAAACGAGGGGGATCGAGGGGGAGATTATGGCCACGGCGAGCCTCGAGCCGCGTAGAGGACAGGAGGCGTGTCCATCTCCGCTCCACGGTGTGTGCACGGCTCAGATGGAGAGAAGCTCGCAGGCACAACGGAGTGCCCCTCAAGATCCACGCAAGGAGGCAATTTCCTGTTGGCTCTGGAAGCCCAGCTGGCGAGGGATCCCACGAGCTTGTATGTCTGCCGCCTTCCACAAATTCTCCTTGCCTTCCCGCTCATCATCCTGCTCATCCGCCACCTCCCCAACCTATGTACGCAGCTCCCCATATCCGATTGAGAATATCACTGCGGGGTCTTTTCGTTGGAGATCAAGGCCTGCTATGACGCGCATGCGCGGGTATAGGCAAACTCAGCACGGTGGGAAGGGATGGGAGGAATAGAATGTTAGATGTGGTGCGAGCGCACCTAGCTTGCCCGCTCCCCCTCTCCCTTCCATCTACTGCGACATCTCTCCTCCTTCCCAGCCCAGCGACTCCCAACGCATTCCACGGTCCTCCCTCCTTCCCCCACCCCCCCGCATCCCGTCGCCACTCTCCCCACCCCACCCCCTCCACACCCCCAACTCCTCCCTCACTCTCCTGCATGACCTCTCCTTACGACGGTCTACTCCTCAGGCTGCTTGGAAGCATCATCATCATCATCATCATCATCATCATCATCATCATCATCATCATCATCATCATCATCATCAGCATCATCAGTATCATCAGTATCATAATCGACATCAACATCCTAATGAGTAGCATCAGCATCATCGCCATCGCATAATCATCATCTTCACCACCATCATCACAACCAAAACCATCAGCATCATCACCATCATCAATATCATCACATTCATCATCACCAACATCGTCATGATCACCACCAACATCCTCATCAATATCGGCATCGTAAACAACAATACCACCACAAATGGTTCCAACAATCCATCATCCAGCGTCCGTGTCACTACCAGCAGTGTCGTCATCGTCTTCGTTATGGTCGGCGTCGAAGTTATCAGCATCACCCTCATCATCACCACCACCAGCATCGTCATCACGATCATCATCATCAGCAGCATCAGCATCTTCGGCATGAACATCGTCCTCCGCATCATCCTCATCGTGCCCACCATACCCCTCCTCGTCCACATCCTCATTCGCTTGTCATCATCATCCTCATCATCATCATCATCATCATCATGTTAACAGCATGCTGCCATTATCCTGTCATAAGTACCATGCTTATGATCATCAGCAGCAGCACAGCAGCACCATCCGCATCGTCATCATCAGCATCATGATAATCATTGATTATCCACATCGTCATCATCATCAGCAGAGTCATCATCGTCATCGCCATCATCATGACCATCAGCATCAGCATCAGCATCATCATAATCGTCGTCATCAACATCGCCATCGTCATTATCGACGGTATCGACGTCGCCATCGTCATCATAATCACAGTCAGCATCACCATCATGATCATCATCGTCGTCGTCATCATCATCAGCAGTCGTCGCCATCGTGATCAGCATCATCATCACCATAGGCGTCGTCATCATCAGCAGCATCAGTGCCGTCGTCATTATCATCATCATCATCATCATCATCATCATCATCATCATCATCATCGGCATCATCAGCAACATGATTGTTAGTATCGTCATCCACATCATCTTCACCACCTGCATCGTCGTCATCATCATTACCAGCATCGTCACCATCATCATCAACACCAGTGTCAGCATCAGCATCAGCATCATCCCCATGGACACCATCCTCAGCAAACTTATCACCACCAAGAACAACAGCTTCAGCAGTAACATCGTCTTCATCACCATCAGCATCATTATCGTCATCATCATCGTTATCATCAGCATCAGCATCATCAGCATCATCATTAGCATCATCTTCATTATCCTGGCTGCCTCTTTGATCCACTCGTCCCCCAAACTCTCGTCCTCCTCCTCCACATCTCTCAGCCTGCTCGTGCGGCTAGCCGCCTGCAGAAAGCGTCTTGCCCTCTGACCCCTGCCCTGTGCAACGAGCGTCAGGGTAATAGAGCCCAGGATAAAAACGACACAATACTATCACAGGGAGCGGAGTAAGTCAGAGGACGGCTCTGGCCTGTCGCCTCTAGGCCAAAGCCTGTCTCGTGGATTCAGACCAACGCGCTGAAGCCCAACGGAGTGGGGCGCACACCCGTGGCTCAGGAGATTGACAGCTGGGTTTGCGCTCCACACAGGGCAGCCAGACAGCAGATCAGAATGTTCATCATCATCATCATCATCATCATCATCATCATCATCATCATCATCATCATCAACATCAACATCAACATCAGCATCAGCAGCTTCATCATCATCATCATCATAATCAGAATCAGCATCATCAGCAGCATGATGCTCCTCATCCTCATCCTCATCCTCCTCAGCAACAGCAGCATTAGCGTCAGAAACGGCATCATTATCACTATATTCGTCGACATCATCAACGTCAGCATCATCATCACCAGCACCATCACCATCACCATCACCATCGTCATCATCATCATCAGCATCGTCATCATCATCAGTATCATCATCATCAACATCACCATCACCACCATCATCATCATCATCATCATGCTCGTCATGCTCGTCATCATCGTCAGCATCTCCTTCATCACCATGACCATCATCATCATCAGTGTCAGTATCATCATCATCATCATCAACAACAACAACAACAGCAGCAACATCACGTTGCCGCCGTTGCCGCTGCTGCTGCACTCTCTCCGTCCCGCACCCCACCTGTCCCATCGCCCCGTGTCCCTCCTCCTGCTGTCTTCTCCTCGCACTACTCGAATTCGTTTATTAAACGCGGGGGGGGGACGTCGTGGGAGTTCCCCCGCCGGCGAAAATTATCCCAGGGCCAGATTGTCAGGCCGGCGAAAAATGCGACCTCGAAGGGCCGGCGAAAATTATTCATCATTTCGAGACCGTGGCTGATGATGCGGATGGTGATGATCATTGTGATCATGCTCGTGCTGATGGTGAAGGAGATGAGGCGATGTTAGTGACGCTGGCGCCCGGAGTTACCTGTGCTGAACACGGGTGGTTGCTAGCACGATGGATGCGATTACGATACTGATGATGACGACTGTAATGTAATGTGATGATGATGACGACGATGGTACTGTTTTGGTGATGATGATGATGATGCTGATGGCGATGAAGATGATAATACTGATGATGAGTGTGATGTTATGTGGCAGTGCTATTCTATGTTGTATAATCACGATGGGTATGATTGCGATGCTGATACTGATGACAACGATGCTGATGACTAACATACGGTACTTGGTCGTACTGTCGGGCTCTAAGGGCCTTTGGAGGGACCCCAGCATAAAATTACGCCTGAAGGGCCTTTGGAGGGATCCAAAAATAAGATTACGCCTGAAGGGCCCCACGCCAGCCCTGCGGCGGCCCAAAAAGACCCCTCATACGACCACGAAGGCCCAAGAGACTCCCAGGACGGCCAACGATGGCTTCACGAGGGCCCGTGCGACCACCCACAAGACTGTCCTCAGGAGCTCAAGAGCCCAAAGACGAACCAAAATATGACGAAACGGTCCATGCTCCATGCGTTCATAGGCGCCGGCGAAAATTAAGCAGGCATGCCGCGAGGGCCGGCGGAAAATACTCTGTGAATCACAAAGCCGGCGAACATTAGGTTGGGGACCAAAAACCCGACCGGTGAAAATGAAACCACCCACGTTGAAGGTTGGAATTCGAGTATTCGGCCTCGCCCTCTTGTCGCAACCGCTGGCGCTGGGGCTGCGCACCATGGTTCGTGACCCCAGGGTCCTGTCTCACCGTGCGCAGGTCCCCGGCGAGGCTGTCTAGGCGTTCCTGGGCCAGCGGGCGTCTGGGAGCTTAGGCGCCTCCTCCTCCTCCTCGTCCTCCTCCTCCTCCTCCTCCTCCATTCCCCTCATCCTGACGTGCTTGCTCCCATACTGTCTCTGCATCCTATTCCTCCTCGACCTCCATCCTCTCTCATCCTCCATCCTGTCTCATCCTCCTGCTGATCTTCGTCGTGCTCGGAGTATTCCCGATCTACGGATTCCAATACTCACTCACCTAGTCTTCGCGAGGGCGAGCATCATCATGAGGCGCAGACAGAGGGTGGCATGCCGGGCGAGGGGGAGTTGCACGCGATCGCATGCGACGAGCGTTTCTGCCAAGCCGCCTTCCCAACACGAGTTTAGCCATCGCGGACTCACACTGCGCCGAACTGCGCTGGAACTCGAAGGTTGGAGCTGCGCGCACGCGCCCTCCCGCGATAGCGTGAGACGCTTAAAGGAAAGTGCGAACACGCTGACGCGAACGCTGGCAGCTCATCCAGTGCGTCGCGTAAGGACTTCATCAAGCTGAGCTCGCGTGCCAACTCCTTGGCATAGTTCCTGGTTGTGTCCGCCCGGGGTAAGACGAACGCAGGTCTGCCGCCAGGTCCGTGGGCAGCCAACAGGAGATAAACTCCACTCCAGGGACGCGGATCGCTGCCGATTCGTGAGCCGCCGAGGGCCTGGAGACTGTGTTTTTTGATTCCCCTCCTCCTCGTAACGTCCGCTGCGGAGGGGGGGCGAGTCGTTCCCCCGTGGTGGGGAACAAGGCAACATGGCGGGGAGCGTCATGGTAGTAGCAGTGATCATCGTAGTAGTTATGCTTGCAGTAGGACCGGTACCAGCAGCGGCAACGACGACGAGAACGACAATCGACGACTGGCGCAGACGACGACGACAACGACGGCACCGTCAACGAATGGCGGCGCGACGACGACGACGATTGCTCCCTGTAATTCGATTCCCCCCTGCTCTTCCTCTACCGGGTCCCCGTCTATGCGTGCCTCAACGTGTGCGCGTGTCACCTACAGAGCTGCTTCGTCAGGGCCGTCGTGTGCCAGATTGCCGGGCACATGTTCCACAAATTCGTACATGATATCGGAATTGTCGTTCACTTCTCCGTCACGTGCATATCTTCCAACTCGCACATGGTCGCAGTGCACGCAAGAGAGGCCAGCGGGCCAACCTGGCTACTTGGCGGGGCCAGGCGAGCTCCCGCCAGC